ACTAGTACCACCCCCAACGAAACAACAATGACGCCTCTCATAACAATCCAACATCTAGAATAAGCCATCGTAGCCTATGCGTGCTGTGATGTTACAGTAACAATGATTTATGCACATTCGACACACGCAGTGCATCCCGTTACCGTAGGTACCTAGGCTGACTTCCAATCTCCTCCATCATCTTGTTCATCCTGTTTCATTCATTCCATCAATTTAATGACTCACGACTTTCTCAACACCTTCAACACTTTCAACACTCTCTTTTTCTCCCGCTGCTGTTCCCGACTTTTGCACTTCCACTTTTGGCTTCCCGCTCAAGGCATATTTTCCATATACACAATCATCCATCCGTAATAAGCCAGCCACACTGGTGGTGTGAAACTAGGTAGGTAGTGTACTCACAAAGTCATTCATCACATGGAAGCCATTGCGCCAAGCGGGCAGGCGGGCGGGCGGGATCTCCAACCCCCATGACTGACTGCCTACAAGGTGATTGATGATCATCCGAAACTGGAGGATTCGCGTCCGCAAATTTTCCCGCTGGAAATGGCGATGAAAGGGATGATGAAAAGGGATGAACACGCGTTCATCTCCCATCACGAGAAAAGAAAGAGAAAAAAAGTCGTTTGAAGGAGGCAAATCGCGAATCTCGAATCTCGGCATCCTTGGGACGGGACGGGACCTAGAGGTATTCATTGGGATCCTTGGCAAAGTTGAGGCTGAGCGCTCAGCGGAGTCAGCGCAGAGGGAGCCCAAACAGTACCCACCATAGTATGTAAAGCCTTATCGCAACTGTTATGGTGTAGCGTCCAGTTGGCCGATAAGTTCAGTGTAGTGTAGGTTAGTCCACTAAATGGGAGCCGTTAGGTGGTCCCCGCCCCCGCTGAACCCGACGGCTAAGTACCCCGGTGACGGTCGTTCCTTCCGGGCGGCGGTGGTCTAGTCTTAACAGACGGGCGGTACCTACCCTAGCTAATGCGGTACCGGTGCCGGTGCCGGTTAGTCCGGGGCTTCATTTCCATCATCTAGTCAAGTCTGTTCGGTCGGTCGGTCGATCGGTCGGCCAGGCCGAGGGGTCTTGGGAGTTGGATTCTTTTGGTTTTGAGAGGCGCATTGCATTAGTCTTAACCCCGGGCGGCCGGGATGGGCGGTCGATCCCCGCAGGTCCCGATCCCAGGTCCCTCCCTCCATGCCTCCACGGTCGGGCCGCGCGGGGACTGGGAGGGGGGGCTAGGCCATCAGGGTTCCCCGTTCGTTTGGGACCGAACCCCATTTTAAGCCCCGTTCAGGAGGTGGCATTGCGAAATCCCGTCGTGCTTGCGGGGTGTAGTACTGGACTGACGATAACGGTCTCTCTCGGTCTGGCCCTGAATTTGGGAATTTGGGATTTGGAATTTACCTAGGATTGTCGTGGCCGTTCGTGGCTGTGGTTTCACTATGCACAATACACAATGCATTTCTTTCCATGTTTTGTGGTGATGATGGGAATGGTAACATATGCGTGGCCGAAACGAAGTGGAATCTGCATGACTCGGTGTGTTCTTCCACTTCTTCCATGGAATATGTAACGCCGGCGGGCGTTGGATGTTTACAATGCAAGATTTGTGCATCTGTTGGTCCAGAGTGCGCTCGTAGGATTGTGCATATGTATGTATGTCTATCTAGACTAATTCCTGCTGGATAAGCAGTCTACTTATTCGGCACGGGAAGTTGGAGAAGATTTATTAGAAGGAAGTTGGTCGCCATCCGCAGATGAGGCCCAGCTTCAGCCCTTTCAAACGCCAACCGACCGCCTAGTCTAGCAGCCTGCATTACATACATTCACCACTGCAGCCAGCCGGGTTGGCTGGTGTTGATTACAAGTTGGCTCGTTCGTTGCCTTTCCCAACCTCCCAATCTCCTGGAAATCCTCACAGAGTCAGAAAAAGTTGGAAGTTCCCATGTGAGTGATCATTTCCTTCATGTTGTTGGGGCGATCTTTCAATCGGGAGTTTTCACGTCATTAGTAACAACTGCAGTTCAGTGGTCGACTGGTGACCATATTGTCACTTTTTCCTCCATCAGCTATCTGTCTAGCTAGCTATCTGTCAATCAAATGAACGGCTGACACCAACCATTCATCTTGACCGAGCCACGCCGCAATATCATCACTCCTAGTATTGAAATTGCACTTCAAAGCGCAGAATCAGGATTTCCATGCTAAGTTGGCAGCTGTTGCTGGTTGTCACTCTCCTATGATGGGCTGCTTGCTCCAACTCCTCGTTTGCTTCATTTCATACATGTGTAGGGACCCGGTTGGTGACCCGTCAATCCGTCGATAATAATTGCCGGTTCGCAAACGGCCGAGTATTTTGGTTCAACCAGGCTAAGAATGGATGGATGGATGGTTGGGCAGTTGGGGAACGAGGCTGAGAATTTTTGTAATTTCCGGACTCCGGCCCAACCTTGATCACTGCCATGCATGGTACACGCCCATAGGAGCCTCTGTTATCACCATCCATGGGTACCTCGTGTGTGTGTACGTGTAGCGGCAATGCCATCTTGCGGCTCAGTGTCCTTTATTGTAGTACCCCTCACCATGGGCGTGCGTGGCATTTGGTCTTCCATGGAATTCCCACTATTCGTAAACTACCTTATCGTCATCACATCGAATTCGTAACGCCATACGTGGACAGGGGAGTCAGTAGATAAGTAGACACCAACCCATCGGTTCGCTTGCTTCACCAAAGACGAGTAAAAGCTCCATGTAAAGTCAAAAGTGTACACTACAGTGATAATCTGGTGGGTACGGTAAGTCAGGTACCAAACCTCACGTTAGCCGCTTTTCCAATTTACACGCCGTCCGTTGTTTCGCTGCTGTCGAGTAGAAGAGTAGACCTCCAGTTTCCCGTTTGCCCATACCCGTTACGACGCTGTCATTTCCCATATTTTCCAGTCAACCTCGCACCCGCATCCGCACCCGCATATCCTGTATGACTCCGACGTAAATGCGGCGTGGGCGTGCGCGGCATCGCTTTGATATCGTAAACAAGTTTGCCTAAGGGGCGGAGCAACAACTTTGTCGTCTGTGGTTTTTTTATTTTGGGGGGGGGGGGGGGGGGGGGGGGG